ACCTCAGCAATACCCAACAGGCGCACACATACTCCATTAACCAGACTAACCAACATAGTAAACAATAAACGAAACTCAAACCAAACTCAAACCATGCATAATATGACAAAAAACTTTTCGGATAAAATATCTTAAAGTTTGCTACGATTAGGCTCATACATGAACCACAGACCATATGACTCAAACAAATATTTGGCGCCCTGATTCACATCCGAGTAGATGGAATTCAATAGTGAGCAATTAGTAAAATGTTTGTCGTTTTCCGAAAGTCAAGGATTCTTAGGGCTTGCATAATTATTGACATTTGCGTGTGAAATGGAGCGACATAGTTAGTACAGACTAGTGTAGAACTACTGCTCAAACTTACTACTTTTATAGTTGAGGCGGAATTTAAACCAAAGAATAGCTATTTTAAGTAGGACAGATTCGTATTTATTCAAGACAATAATAGCAGATACTACTGCTTATTATTATTGGGTTGACTTGCATTAGCTGGAGGTTGATCTCGCCGGTAGACGACATTTAATTGTCATATACCTGCTCTTGCAGTCCTCGAGACACGCTCCTTCCGTGCAGATAAAAAGATGCTGAGCTATCTTTATGACGAAAAGATGGGTTTCATATAAGCTCTTAATTATGTTATGTTTAATACGAATTTTATAACGAAGGCAGAATTGGTTGGGATTCGTGAAATGGTATCACCGGAGTGAAGACTTTTGAAGTGTCCACTCAAATTGAGGGAGGATGTCTCGTGGACGGGAATCTGGCTTCGTCTTCGGGTGAGATCAACAGAAGAATCTCTTCATCTTGCGACGTCATATTAACTGAAAGTCTCTCAATTACGTTTTGTCTATAAGGGTCTCGAGATTTATTCACACCCTATTTCGTTTAAGGTGATGAAGGACTGGTAGATGAATTTTCTTACAATTTCACACAGCCCTGCTTACACAAAAGGTGTTTTCATCCAGGTTGGACTGCAGTTATGACCTAGCCTCGGTTTTATCAACACCTCCAGCAGGATTCAAACTATGATAGTGCAGTGTGTAATCTCGCCATGATCACTGGACATATGTGAATTTCAAGGAAGCCAGGCATTTTCCCATATCATATTCTTTGGTGGAATTGTCGATGAATCAAAGTTATCTTTTGCTATAGCAATCGCATGCATAACTTGTTTTTCGTTTGTAAGTAGGGCTTCAAGACTACTAGTTATATGAGATTTATTCACACTCTATTTCGTTTAGGGTGATGAAGGATTGGTAGATGAATTTTTACGCAATTTGACACAACCTAGCTTACACAAAAGGTGTTTTCATCCAGGGTGGACTGCAGTTATGACCTTGCCTCGGTTTTATCAACACCTCCAGCAGGATTCAAACTATGATAGTGCAGTGTGTAATCTCGCCACGATCACTGGACATATGTGAATTTCAAGGAAGCCAGGCATTTTCCCATATCGTATTCTTTGATGGGATTGTCGATGAATTAAAGTTATCTTTTGCTATAGCAATAAACTGCAGAACTTATTTTTCGTTCATAATTAGGGCATGAAGACTACTAGTAGATCAGTTAAATGTAAATAGAATGAATACATCACATATAACTTCATATAAATAATTGGACTCAAGGGTGGAATTTTTTTCGAAAATTTGGGGAATTTAGAGGTTGTTTGACCTTGTTTTCGCAACATGGTCATATTGGTAGGAAGACTTCGAGGAACACATCTAGTCCGGAGTCCATTGTCTGCATGATCATTTCCAAAGTAGAACCGTGGAAATGTGATATGATTTCGGGTGTTTATATTAGTTCTCGATCCGACAAATCCTTTCTTAAATTAATGACTTTAGTGTGTCCAGATGTGAATGAATAGATGTTTCGCATACCAATGCTAAATAATTTTCATTGATTCTCCTCACATCTCATTGTTGAGCCTAGTTTCATTTTATGTGAACTGCCTGAATAGTTTAGGAATACTACTGAATTGGAGATGATTTCTCATGCTTACACGGTCATTGAGCAAGGTCCCTGAGTTGGCTTTCTAAAAACTTCTACCTGAAAATACAAATAGCTCTAAAATCAGATAAAAAGGAGGCCTTAGTCATCCTGGCTGTGTAAAGAGGTTGTTTGACCTTGTTTTCGCAACATGGTCTGATTGGTTGGAAGACTTCGAGGAACGCATCTAGTCCGAAGTCCAGTGTCGGCATGATCATTTCCAAAGTTGAACCGTGGACGTGGCACATTCCCAAACGTTTCGCCGGCATCGTCAGTGACTATCGCCATTCTTGGCACCATACAACAACTCGTCAAAGAGACAAGACGTTTGGGAATGTACCACGTCCACGGTTTAACTTTGGAACTGATCATGCCGACAATGGACTTCGGACTAGATGCGTTCCTCGAAGTCTTCCAACCAATCAGACCATGTTGCGAAAACAAGGTCAAACAACGTCTCAGGATGACTAAGGCTTCCTTTTTATTTGATTTTAGAGCTATTGGTATGTTTAGATAGAAGTATTTAGAAAACCAACCCAGGGGACCTTGCTCAATGACCCTGTAGGAGTGAGAAATCATCCCCAATTCAGTAGTATTCCTAAACTATTCAGGCAGTTCACATAAAATAAAACTAGGGGAATCAATGAAAATTATTTAGCATTGGTATGCGAAACATCTATTCATTCACATAAGGACACACTAAAGTCATTAATTTAAGAAAGGATGTGTCGGATCAAAAACCTATATAAACACCCGAAATCATATAAAATTTCCACGGTTCCACTTTGGAAATGATGATGCATACAATGGACTTCGGACCTCTAATTTTTCCTACCAACATGACCGGGTTGCGAAAAAAGGTCAACCAACCTCTATACAACGAAAGGAGACTGCGACCACACAAAAAGCCCAGACCGGGACCAAAGTGTGCGTTTGATGCAAACCACAAATCTTGATAATATCTCATTCATTCTGTCTTTGGGGACGTTCTTACGCCGGAGCGTTTTAAGGGAGGTATCGGTGCCCGAGAGGCAGGTTGAAAGGTTACGTGTGAGATGGAGCAAGAGGAAGAGAACTTGCGTCTGTGTCCCAGTTGGTCAGGCATACAGAAACAGACCAGCTCTCGATAGCCAATCAGACAATTTCTACATTTGTCTGGTTTCCCGTGCTTCTATGCCTTTCCGCCCCCCCCTCACCTCGCAACCAGACCTCTTTGTCCGCCTGACGGCAACTGCGCAAGGTCAATTATTGGAAGAGCTGACGGAAAGAAGGTCTGAGTGTCGTGTTTGAGCAGGCGTTGCGGTGAGCATGTGTCCGTCTGCCTGAAGCGCGTCTGCCAGCCAGGTCTGGGCGTATGGCAAACACATTCGCATGTGTACAATTGTGAGTGTGAGTGTGAATTTGCAGTCGTCCAGACTGAGGCCGCGGCAAGATACAGAGACGGATTTCTGCTTTATCAGGCCGATGGTGATTCTGCGTTTGTCGTCTGAGAATAGGCATCATTTTCTCTCTCTCTCTCTTTGACCTCTCTTTCACTCCCCCGTCCTCCATCTCCAACTTGTCTGTCTCACCTCCGCTGTCTGCCTCTCGGGGGCTTGGAGACATCAAACACACACACACACACACACACACAGTTTACGTTTTGAAGGGAGGTGGTAGAAAGCCTCGACAGGACTCATTCAATGCATGTTCATACCAATTGTTGCCTTGGCGCCAAGCAATGGCTGGCCGAGGAAGAGAGTGAGGCGAATAGAAAGGAAGCGGGAGCGAGTTGGCTGCTCAAAGCAGCGAATGACAGAATTGAAAATGTTTCCACATTTCGTCATTTGCTCCAACAGACAGAACCCGTGAGCCCAGTTGAAAACAGGCAAATGTGGAAAACATTTCTTTCATTTGAGCACTTGCATCTCTCTTTCCGTCCGTCTCTCCATCACTCTTCCTGCTCGCTCGCTCGTGCCCAACAGTCATACTGACTGGCGCTCAAGTAGTGTCGTGCGGAGCATTTCCTATTTGTGTGAAATGCCTTTGTCTGCTGCTTCACTCTGCTCAGTTTCTGTTCTCTTGCGCTGCCCGACACACGCTACATCCGGTCGGAATGTGTTCTTTTCTCCCGACGACAAACATCGTCTTGAAGTGGTCTTGCGTTGATGCATGAATCTGTATCCAGGCCTGCTTGCAGCCTCGCTTCTCGGCCAGCACCCCTTCGCGCCGTCGGTGTCGTCTTCTCGCTGCGAAACCAGCCACCTCAACAGCCTGCCCCAGTTTGCTGTATCAGCCGAAGAGGAGGCGACAATGTCGTCACGATCCGCCTTCCCGCCCAACTCCACGGCAACGCCGATGCCTCTTCTGCCCCCGTTGCCTCCGACTGGATTGATTGGGCCACTTTTTGCATTCCGTCAAAGCCTCGGTCTCAATCACGCCCAAACCTGCCTACCCAACTTCTCCTCTTCTTCTTCCACGTCACCCTCTGCCTCTTCTTCTTCTTCTTCTTCTTCTTCTTCTTCTCCCTCCTCTTCCTCCGGTTACTTGGGTCTTCCTCTCGAGCTGGCCACCT